GATAGTGTAACCTCTCACGGAGAGCCCACAGCACAGGGGAGCAATGTGGCCGCACACCCCTGGCCCCACGTGAGACTCAGTCTAGGGGAAGAAGATCTTAATAGGAGACAGGAGACCTGGACTCTGGCTTCCCTTGGGCCATTTTTTAAGCTGTGTGGCCTCGAGCAGGCAACTTAACCTCTGATAGTTGGAAGGCTTCTCCAAGTCTCTTTTTCCAATATATGAACCTTGAAATTAAGTTAGTTAATTTGCCATTGCCTTCATTTCATCAAAAAAAAAAAAAAAGAAAGAAAGGAAAAAAAAAGAAAGGGCAGTTCAAATAAGTGACTAGCCAAGGTCTATGAGGTAACAAAGGCACTTCCATGAAGAGCTGCTGCCCGTTAAGCGCTGTAAGATCCTTGGATTCCTTGCCTGCGAGACTCCTACTTAGAAACACAGGCATGATATAGAGGAAACGAGACTGGCTAAAATGCATTCCAAAGAGTGTTTGGTGCACAGGAAGCCAACAAGAAACAACAGCTTCTAATAAAAATAATGATGTCCAAAAAAAATGCAAAAGGTTTGTCTGGGGTGATTCCTCAACTCAAGGCATGGAGTCCTGAATTTGATCCTGAGCCTTTTCAGAGCAGGATTATTTCCACCTTGGTTATCAGTTCCCAAAACAAATCTTGAGCCAACCCAGATACATCCTCCCCATAACGAGAGTTAACTGATTCTAAGAACTGTGACTTCCTCAATGATCTGGATGTTCCCCAAGATGGGGAGCACCTTTTCTGGACTGAGCCCCTGGACTTGTAATTCGGGCTCCTGCCCTGCCTTGAAGAGTTCTGTGTGTTCAGGCTCCATTTACCACCCTACATGGCCTTCCTTGCCCTCTGCCCTAGTCCACCCACTCTGGGCCCACTGGCCTTGTCTCTAGTACCACTGAGACCTATGATGGTTGGTCCCACTCTTGGTCCTTTGCACTAGAGAGCCCTCTGCTCAATGTACTCTTGCCCCCTAACTTACACGGTGTGCCCCTTTTTATCTGTCAGACTTCAGCTTTTGTCTTAGTCTATTTCAACTGCTAAAACAAAAATACCATAGACCAGGTGGCTTCTAAACAACAGGAACTTGCCTTTCACAGTTCTGGAGACTGGAAGTCCAAGATCAAAGTGCTGGCAGACTCAGGTTCTGGCGAGGGACCAGTTCCTGGTTCACAGATAGCCATCTTTGTGCTGTTTCATCACATGGTTGGAGAGGTGAGGGAGTTCTCTTGGATCCCTTTTATAAGGGCACTAACCTTATTCTTGAGGGTTCTACCCTTGTGACTAATCACCTCTCAAAGGCCCCACCTCCTCACACCATCACCTCCGGATTTCAATATATGTATATCAGGAGAACTAAATCTTCATGCTATATCAAAATTTTAGAAAAATCTCTGAAAACCCCAGTTGTTTTTACTCATGCTCTTTTTAAAATCTTTACAGAGTGCTCTGGTTTGTGTGAATCCCCAAAAGTTCACGTGTTACAAATTGAGTCCCCAGTGCAATGACATTGGGAGGCGGGAATTTTAAGAGGTGATTAGCTTATAAGAGCTCAGCCCTCATGAGTGGACCCATGGCATTATCACAGAGTGGGTTAGTAGCCACGAGAACAAGGCTGTTACGAAAGTGAGTTCACCTCCTGCCCTTGCTGTCTAGTGCTCTCTGGTTCTTCTGTCTTCTGCTGCAGATGTTGCCTCCTTGATCTTGGACTTCCCAACCTCCAGAACTATGGGAAGTAAATTTCTTTTCTTTATCAATTACCAAGTCGCTTGTATTTTGGTAGTTTCAGTTCCTCAAGAGCTGAGCTTCACCTGTTCAGACAGATCACATCACCTGGGACATCTCTTGGTCTATAGGAGTTGGTGGATTAATGCTTATGAAATGAATGAATGTTAATTCTTTTCTGAGGAGACCCTCACCTGGCTAGCTCCCCCACCTTGACTATCACATAGCACCTCCGCTAAAAAAAACTTTCCCTTACCCATTGGGCATCCTAAACACGTGCAGGTTTGGGCTATACAACATAAAGTAATAGTCTTGCATTTTGTCACAAGAACAGGGCTGTTCTCATTTTTAAAAAATGAAATTCAGGGGACGAGCAGATGGCATAATGGTTACGTCACTGGACTCCCACATGGCCAACTGTGGTTGAAGTTCCAAACCTGGAGGCTTGAAACTCAAGCCAGGTGCATGTTCATGCATGCCCAAAATCTCAAGAAGAGAATGGAGAAGGGACTGAAATGTGGCCGTCTCACTAGGGGTGTTTCTTACTTTCTGTCTCTCTCTATTTCTCCGGCAAGTGCGTGCGCCCTATAGCAAAACTCTCTCTCTTAAAAAAATTTTTTTTAAATTAAAGTATAACAATAAAACAATGAGACTTTTTCCATGTTCTTTTTAAAGAACTCACTTCTTGAATGTATTATGAAACTTCTCCTTTCTAACTTTTTGAAGTTGGTTGTCACTAATAAAGGAAAAGTCACACTTCAGGATATCACATTCTCTTTTCTCTCCCTCTCTTGCTCTCTCTCCCTCTCTCTGTCCCAACCAGCCCTCTTTTTCCTTGTCTGAGCCTGAGGACCCTGAAGAAGGGTGACACTGGGGTAATGGGTGAGCAGAGACAGGGAATAGTCACCTAGACCTGTCAGCCCATCTGAAAGGCTTTAACAGTGAGTGACAGACAGGATGAAGAACTGTAGGAAGCTGAGAACTGCCTGGTGAAGGCAGGGATGACTGACAAGCAGGGCTGGCCTGAAGCAGTGATAGTCAGAAGCTTAGAGGTGCAACTTGAAGGGATGGATGCGACTTAACTGAAAACTGCTTGACACAAACGGTAAACCAGCTCCCAGGCTGCCACTGGGAACCAAGCAGCTCAAAATACTCTCTCAGGAGGGTACTAGCTCCCACAGATACGGTAGAGTGCAAGACTGTTATTCCATCTAGATCTGCACACGTGTGTGCACACACATTTGTACGTGTGCATGCCAAACGGTGGTGAATGCCAAAGCCAGACCCTGCTGTGGAATATGAAACATCTGTGTAGATGGTATGCAGACGGTCAATGGAGCTAGAAACAAGACGTACAAATGAAATCTACATGCTACTGAAATATCCTTTGAAATTCAAATTCCTAACAATTACACAAACTTTGTATTCTCTAGAAAGTTTTTTCTGCATCAGCTGGCTCAGTCCTTGTAATGATCTCATATAGAAGGCAGGGAAGATAATTAAAACTCAGAGAGGCCAGGACTATTACCACCATGTCCTACAACGCAGATTTCCAGTAGGTTTAACTGTATGTAAGAGGCCGCATTGCTAAGTTTTAACTTTGGGTGACTTATTTTAGCCTAAAGGACTTTCCATGATGCTATGATTTTTATAAACTGAGTTACAGGGATTCTATATTTCCCAAAAAAAGAGAAAAATAAGTGGTAGTTATTCACTTTATTAAGAAATGTTCATTTGTCAGAAGAATGTGACATGACTTATTTAGATCTTAAATTGCTTTACATGTACACTAGACTTTTGTAAACAGCTTTATTGGGGCATATATACTGGTACATTTTAGATGATAAAATTTAGTATATAGAGAGGGAAGTCTTGAATATATATAGGATTTCTATAAAACAATAAGAAAAAGATAAACAAGATAAAACTAGGCAACATGTAATACCAGCCGAATCAGAGGAAAGGAAACCCAAAGGCCCAGCAGACTCCCGCTATGAGAGAATGCCAATCTTCCCTCCCCATTTTCCCTTCTTACTGAGCACATAGCTGCCCAGCCAGGGCCTGTGTTCTTTAGCCTCCCCCTAGGGATGGACCTATGCATCCATGAAACTAAGTTTTTGGGAATGTTAGCCAGGTAGAAGGAATATTTGTAGTATCTGCTTACCTACCTACAAAACAGTTACTCTTCCTGAACTTCCCTTTTTTCTGAAGGCTTGTATATGGCAGCCATGAAGACAGGTTGATGCTAAGAGACAGCAGTGTAACAGCTGGGAGATCCCTGAATGACTGGGTGGAGCAGACCCACCTTGCCAGTGTGGACTACCCAACATAAGACTGTTAAGCAAAAGTTAAAGAAATATCTTTATACTTAAACTTCTGTATCGTGGAGTATCTTCATAAAAATCAGTTTAGCTTTTACCCTAATGCAATGATGAATCTAACTAGTAGTCTGGAAAATGAAAGTTAAAGCCAAGTACCATTTCATTCCCTAAGATTGTCCACATATTGAAAGTCTGATGACAACAAGAATCGACAAGGATTTGGAAATGAGAAACCTTCATATGCTTCTAGCAGAACTGTAAATTAGAGAACAATTGGTCAATATTACTGTGGTAGGAAAATTGCATTTCCTGTGGTCCATTTCACCTATAGGTATAGTAACTTCACATACTGAGACACATCTATAGGATCTTTACAACATCATTTGTACTAGGAAAATTTCAGAAATAATCTGAATTGTTGACAAGAGAGTAAATAAACTGATATTTTTATATGATTGAGCACACCCAACTGTTAAAATGAATGAACTGCATCAATATGTATCAATGTGAATAGATTCCCAAAACATACCATTAAAGTGGAAAGGGAAATATGAACACCAAAATGGCATTAGATAATAAATGCCCAGGGACCAGCAGTTGGCGCAATGGCTATGTCACTGGACTCCCATGTAGTACACCGCAGTTTGAGTCCTGGACCTGGTGGCTTAAACTCATGCTGGGTACGTGTATGTGCATGCCCAAGATCCCAAGAGGAGAAGGGATTGTGGCATGGCCATCCCCCCTGGAGGGTTGATTTCTTGCTTTCTGTCTGTCGCTCTCTGTCTTTCTGGTGAGCGCACATGCCCTATAGCAAAAACCTCTCCAAAAAAAGAAAAAAAAAAAGAAATATCCAAAGGATAATAAGTATTATTTTTAACACAGATGCATGTAGTAAAATTACAAAAACATGGTCCGAAAGAGTACATACCCTGATTCTTGACAGTGGTTATATCTGGGGAAGGAAGGTGAGGAATTGAATCTATGGAGAGAAACAAAGAAGAATTTATTACTATTCATGATTTTAATTTATTTCATAAAAATATGCCCCCAATCTTAAATTGTTAATACCTATTAATTACGGCTACTGGGTACCATCATGGCTGCTCTGGTACTGGGTCATACACATGAGACTTGACTGTGTGCATTTCTTCCCCAACTTCCCATCCAGTGATGTCATGGTGGTACCTTGAAATCACACAGGGAAGTATTTACACTATAAAAATAAGCAAATGCTATAAATCAAGTCTTCGTTTTTCTCTGGAGTTAGTTGTTTGACACTGACAAGCACACTGCTGGGCATAGCGGATCTATTAAATTAATCTTGGTACCTATCTCAGAACGTGCTCCAGAAACCTACCTAAGACAGTATGTGCTGTCATCATCCTATGGAGTCTGGCTATTTGCATAAAGCCGCAAGAGCAGTGAAACTCAGAGCGGTGAAGCTCATATTCGTAAATCTATCTGTGCCAAATCTGACAGCTGAGATCTCTGTAAACTACTTCTAATTTGTTTGTGCTTTGAGTCTGCATTAATAATGAATTTAAGAACATCTGACCCATAATAGCTCCATGCAAACTTATGTTTGCTAACTGAAAGACTGCTGAATACTAAAAGCAGGCTTTGCACACCAAAGCCTTCTTGCGTACTGGAATTAAAGAGCTCACTAGAGAGTTCAGGTTTTCAAAGACACATTCATGTTTGGAGATTTATGGGTTTAGCATTTTCAATGAGGTCGTTTCATATTTTTAGGTGTTTGACTAGAGTACTGAGAACGTGCATGTATGGCCATGGAACATTAATCGGAAATAATGAAGCTTTCTCAGGTTCCTCTGAAACCACTCCAAGGGAGACACCAGATTTAAAATCCATGCAATATGCACTGTGTTTGCTAACCTTGTCTAATTGGATGATCTGGGACTAAATGAGAAGAGTTAGGTAATTTCTTCACATAGCACACCATAAATTCTCATGGTGATGGAATCTAGAGGAGAATTAGCAGTCATGTTTGTACTGCAGTCGGAGAGGCATTGGCAATCTTGACTCCCACTGAGGTGGAAAGGCCTCCTTCTAAGCAATAGCAGATACTGCTGCAAGGGTAACTGGCCAGGCCACAACTGAGCTGGCTCATTGTAGGTGACTTGTAGAGTTACAGTCTTGGTCAAAGTTAATTAACTTCATGCTGACAAACTGAACAAAAAGCCAATATTTGGGGATGAAGGCATGTGAAGCCATAGTTTTAATACCCTCAACCCCAGCATCTTGTGTAGTTGAAACCGTGCAGAGGTGGTGGCATGAAAGAAATAAGCTTAAGAGCAAAGGCAAAAAACTCCATCCTATTAAACCATCAAGAAAGTGAAAAAATAACCTACAGAATGAGTGACTATGTTTGTGAATCATATCTGATGAGAAACTGTCATCTAGAATATATAAGAAATTCTTTCAATTCCATCAACAACCAACCTAATTAAATATAACAAAATCATTAAACAGAAATTTCTCTAAAGATGATTTATGATATCCAATAAGCTCATGAAAAGTTGCACAACAACCTTAGCCATTAGGGAAATTCAAATTAAAAGCACAACAAAATACCAGTAGGATAACTGGAATCAAGAAGACAGATAATGGGGCCAGCCGGTGGCATGGTGGTTAAGGTGCTGGACTCCCACATAGCCAATTGCAGTTTGAGTCCTAGAACCTGGAGGCTTGAAAATCACACTGAGTGCATGTGTGTGCATGCCCAAAATTCCAGAAAGGAGAGAGAGAAGGGATTGCAGTGTGGCTGTTCTCTCTAGAGCGCGATTCCTCCCTCCTTTGCCCTACCACTGTCTCTCTCTCTTCAGTGGGCACATACACACTATGGTAAAAACCTAAAAAGAAGGAAAAAAAGACAGACAATAACAGAAGTTGGCAAAGATGTGGAGAAATTGGCAACCTCATACATCGCTGGTGAGACTAGAAGTGGTGTCACTGTTTGAACATGTGTGGCACTTCTGCCAGAGGTTGAACTGTAGTTAGTGTACGACCCCACACTTCCACTCCTAGGTATACATTCAGGGGAAGTGAAAATGCGTGTCCAAACAAAATCTTGTACACAAATGTCCACATAATAGCCATAAGGTAAAAATGGCTCAAATGTCCATCAACTGATGAATTGATAAATAAAACATGGCATATCCAAAGGATGAACTATTATTCAGCCATAAAAGTTCATGAGTACTGCTAGTCTATGGTACAACACGGATGAGCCTTTTTTTAAGAGAGATTTTTGCTATAGAGTATGTGCGCTTACCGAGAGACAGAAAGCGAGAAATCACCCAACCCCCTCCCGAAGGGATGGCCACACTGCAATTTCTTCTCCTCCAGTCTCCTCTCCTGATTTTGGGCATGTACATACACACACACCTGGTGTGAGTTTTAAACCACTAGGTCCGGGCCTCGAACCACAGTTGACGCCGCAGGCACCAGCAATGTAACCACTACACCATCTGCTGGTCCCCATAGATTAGTCCTGAAACATATAGAGGGACTTGAATGAGTTCATGGGACAATGGAATTAAAGATTTAAATTATTTTGGTGCAAGAAATATTGAAAAATAAAGGATAAATAAGAGATTTGGAGAAGAAAGAACTTTTTTTTACTTCAGAGAGATCACAGCATTTCTTGGAAGAGTTCACATTTGAGGTGGGCTCTTTAAGCTATGAGGGGGTCTTCACAAAATTCATAGACATGTAAATTATGAAAAAAAACACATGGATTTCAAAGTTTCATTTACACTAAAATAAACTTGTATTTTAATTACATTTTCTCATTAACTTCTTGAAGTCCCCGTGTGTGTGTGCGTGTGTGTGTGTGTGTATTACTTTTGAACTGTTATCCCATAATCAGGTATTTTAGAGGATGATATAAAATATATAGAAAGAAAAATATGACACAAAGTATCTAGTTATCAACATAGACAAACAGGAACAAAACAATACAGAATAGGATGAAAATAATTTAAGATGCTGATTTAATTTCACAAAGTCAAGCCTAATGTAAAGGTACCTGGTACCATAGATTTACCGTTGTTTACAAGCCCTTCCTTCTTAATCATTTGTGGATAAACTAACTTCCTTTCTTCCTTCCTCCATCCCTCTCTTCTTTCTCTCTTCTGAGCTCACAGCAGCAATACTTACACAGGCTGAGGAATCCTAAGCACAGAGGTGCTTCATGGCAAGCAGATAAATCAAGTTCACTCCATGGGAGAAGACAATCCTGTCGGGGAGGTTGGTCTGAAGCAGGCCAGCGTAGAGGTTTAGCAGGACGGCAGCCATTTTGAAACTGAGAAAGGCCTCTAATGAGAACTGCCTGACCAAGTGCTGCCTCATAGGGAGAGCTGTTTGAGAAACCAAGAGTGGGCATCTGAGGAAACCAGGGTCATTACCCAAGAGAAAGCAATTGACTTGGATAGACTGCCGTGAGGAATGATTTGCACGTGCTTACATCTTGTATCTATCAATAACTGACTAGGGACATGTTGAGCTTTTTGAAAACAGTTTGATGGTGCTTGCTGTCTGCTTCCTCGTAACTCGTTGCAAAAATAAACTCCCTTCTTTTCCAATCTCCGCCTCTCGTTTCATTGATTGCAAGTGTAAGTGGCTGGACTTAGTTTGCCAAAAACAGGCCCACCGTAAAGCTGTTCCATCTGATTCTAGTCCTGGACGGGCTTTCTCATACCCTAATACGACCCTGCCATTGTATTAGTAAGGGATGAAGGTGCAGAGAAGCTGAGGGACCCACTCGAAGTCACACAGCCTATTAATGGCCACCCTGAGTCTATGGGGCAGGCCCCTTGATTCTCATCCTGTTCTGGCTTTTCTTTGATTTCTAATGATTATAACCCTAGTCCTACTTTTTTCTGACTTACCTTGTGGTAAGTCTAATTTAAAAGTCGAATGTAAAAGTTGGTAGTTTAGAGCCCAAACCACACGTGTCTACAGGGGTGGACAGTCACAGGAGTCTGAGCAAGAGGGCGGTGGCTTCTCTGTGCAGGCGGACTGCAGCCATGCAGGCACAAGGGCACACTGTGCCAGACTGACAAGATCTTTCAGGAATGAGTAACGCTGAGAGGCGAGATTATTGGGGCAGTGGAGACCTTTGTAAAAGGAAGGCTCAGCCTGGGTGGACAGAGAAAGAGAAGGCATACTTAGAGAAAAGCCAGTGGCCTGACTCGGGGACGCCTGAAGAACCTCTTGGTCCAAATAAAGGTGGGCATCCTGTAGCAGGAGGAGACGGGGTGGATTCATCCCAGCAGACGCCAGAGAGGTCCACACCCAAGGGCCAGGTAGGGTTGCTCTCACTGAAGAACAGAGAACCGCTAGGGAACACACGCTTCCCCAGCATCCCCTCTGCCCTGGCTGGGATGCCTGAGAGGCTCTGGAATTTACATCAGCTTCAGGAGAGGAGGATGGGGGCAGGAGAAATCCTAAAATGTCTGGAAGACCTTCACAGGGATAGATATACATGGAACTGGCTAGATTAGCTATCTTCAGGAAGAGTGGGGTTTAAGATAGACTTTAGGCTGAGTTACAGGAAAATACAAGCAGATTTTTGTCGACGCAAGTCTGTGCCTATGGAAGTCGCACTCGGTCCACACACAGGAAGGAAGAGGCTATTCCAAACGAGGCTGAATATCTAGACAGCCAGGTGCTTGGGCCTGTGCCCAGATGTCTTGTTTCTTTAGATAACTGTTCTGGTTCGCTCCATTTGCTAAGATGAAGTCCTCAGCGTGTCCCACATACTCTGCTATGACTAAGACCTAAGCAGAAATATCAGACCCAAAAGAAAAATCAACACACTTGCTTTTCTCTGCACTGAAGGGACACTGGAAATGCGGGCGTTCCTCCAAGCACTTCTATTAAAGTGTTTCCACCCACGAACTCCACCTTGTTTAAAAAGATGTATTTATAGTAAGGGAAACTTGAATATACCTTTAT